TAAGCAGTGCCTGTCGCATGAACCACCCATCCGATCGTGCAATGCCAGGTGGGCAGCAGAGTATTCGAGGAGAAAGCTTAACGTGTTGCAATGCTCGTCAAGGTCCATCCGGCCCTCTGACGCCTTGACCTTTAGTCGCCTGACCTTAAGCGCGAGATGGCAGAGCGTTGCGGTCCAAAACACCGAATGCATAATCACATGCATCAGATATGCAGCCACCGAGTCTCTGAATGTCGCGCCAACCCCTGACACGCGGCGTTTGCGCCCGGTCCAATCCCGCCTTCATGGACTTATGGGCCCCGTTTAGTCACTCACAGTGAGAGCTGGCTTTGAAGCATCGTGATCCATCCTGTGAAAGTGGCCAACGACGGACCGAGCGCGGCGACTACAAACCTTCCAAGCCTCAATCCGGTTCCCGTATGCGATCCTCTGGTATGTCGGGTAATTTGTGACAACAACCCGCGGCCTACGAGTGCCGCTGCCGCCGCCGTCCAGTCGCTGACAGAGGTCCAGTGACACGCCACCGTCTATTTCCGTTCCTCGCCGCCACGCCTGTGTTGTGATTAAGCAGAATGGCGTCACTTCTGGGCAGGCGGCGGAGTCGGGAGCCAGCGGCCGGCCAGGGGCGTGCGGACACCGGGGAAGAGAGCCGGCCCGGCTCTCCGGCGACCAGGGTGGACATAGGCGGCGGCGATTCTGGGCCGCTGGTGGAGTCGGGAGCCAGCGGCCGGCTAGGGGCGTGCGGACACCGGGGAAGAGGGCCGGCCCGGCTCTCCGGCGACCAGGGTGGACATGGGCGGCGATTCTGGGCAGCTGGTGGAGTCGGGAGCCAGCGGCCGGCTAGGGGCGTGCGGACACGGGGGAAGAGGGCCCGGCTCTCCGGCGACCGCGGCACACGCTTAAGTATTAGCTAAGCTGGGGGAGGGGGGGGGGCGGGGCTAGGGCGGGGCATAGGCATCCCCAGTAACCGGACAAAAGGTCAAAAGCCAAGAAGTCAAAGGGCAAAAAGCCAAATGAGATCACGTCAAATGGCAAAAAGTTAAGCAGGATTAAAGTTAAATACCAAAAAGAGGAAAAGCCCAAAAGTCAAAAGGACAAAAAGTCAAATGGCAACAAGCCAAAAAGATAAAAGTCAAACGCAAGAAGTCAACTAGGCAAAAAGTCAAAAGGGATACAGTTCAAGTAGATTTAAGTTTAAGGGCAAAAAGTCCAAAGGATAACAAGCCAAATGGCAAAAGGCTCAATGCTTTAAAGTCAAAAGTAAAAGTAAAATGTAGCGAGTTAAAGATACAGACCAAATTTAAAATGTCACATGGGTGATAGCCAAGAGGGATGAAGAGCAGGGCAATAATAGGCTTATCACTTGTCTTTCTCTCTCCTTGTAGCCTTTCCACTTGGATGTAAAAAAGAGGAAAGACAGGTTTAAGCAATCCAAGTCAAAATGAAATGGGCCGCTGAGGGCCGTGAAGCAAGTAAGCTTAAAAAACTCGTTCATTGCGCGGGGCATTTTCGGCTCAAATGCAGGGCACTCTATGACCTCTGCACAGACACGAGGCCTGGTCGACTCATTTACGCTCAGGTTGAGCCTCCTTTACGTGCCAGCTTGACCCCTCGCATGCCTGCAGGGAACCTTTAGTTGCAGGTATAGTCAGTGGCGGCTCCACAGGGAGGGAGCAGCGGGCAGCTTCTTCCCACGATCGAGCTAATTTATCCAAATTTGTGTTTCTGACCCTTTCCGCAACAAATCGTAAATTTTGCTGAGGTTTCTACGCTAAATATGTCTACTTACAGAGCCCATGAAAAATCAAGTACATTATCCCATCTCAATCTCTGCACATACAATTCTTAAAACTTGATTATTTTATCGGACAGCTTGATATAACCAGCCGGACACTTTTTACAGCAACTGCTACCTTCTACGACTTAAAAATGATCAATCATAAAAGTGGCTGCTCACAAGCAACAAGATCCGTTCACAAATTATAGTAAGTACCTTATATCTTGCTTTTTTCGTTGGTCTCAGTGGCCCAAGCAGTAGGAAGGCCCATGCCTTCCCAAAAGTCGCGATGGCTGAGAAATGTGACAAACACTATCTCAAAATTTGAAAGGTATTGTACTATTCTGAGGAATTGGAATAAAGAGGGTTCATAAAAAATCTTGTGCGGTTTCCCCCTGACTCATTCCCGCCAAAGTTCAAGAGACCCATTAGATAGCCTCACGCAGAAGGATTTTCTGTGAGGAGGCCCAATTTTGTCTAGTGTCCGAACCCAGGAGTGTAGTGCCTTACCCAGTGATGCAGTTTCCTATTCAGTTGCGACAAGAAATCACATCGCGTAAAATCATCGGAAGTTAAGACACTTACCTGGCGGTATGGTTTCCTATTCAGTTGGAAGTGGGGCTTCAGCCTCCTCCATTTCGGCTTTATTCCCTAAACTTTGGGAAGAAAGTGGGCCAAATCTGAAGAGACACTTTTTTGATGGCTCATTTTGGGGATGGGCTGGGTCATTTTAACCGTTCAGCCCCCCTCAACAGCTTTGAGAAATTACGCCCCTGCACTTCCGTGACACGACAGGGCCTATGCTCCTTTTGTGGAGTTCCAGAGCCAATGAATTACTTATTCCATTGGACTGGGCGGGGCAGATTCCTGATTCCGCCCCCCTCCCCCCCCCCCCCCAGCTTAGCCCTCCTCGCGAACGCCTGACCAGAGGCCTTCGGTGTACTTTGAGGCCATGTTAAATCCAAGGAAGTGATATTTATAGCTTGTGCTGCCGTTGTTCATTTTACGTTTATCTGTTTTGACTTTTTGTTGTTTGACTTCCTTTGCTTTTGACTTGAATCGCTTTTAACTCGCATCCATTGAACTTTTTGCCCGTTTCGCTTCTTGCCTTTTGACTTTTGCGTTTTTTACTTTTACCGTGTTTGACCGCGTGGCTGTTTGCCTTTTTGCATTTGACTTTTGTCCTTTGGACTTTTTGCCATTTGGCTCTTAGTTCTTGGGACTTTTTGACTTTTTGCCTTTTTGTGTTTGACTTTTTTTCCTGTTTGGCTTTTTGCCATTCGACTTTTTGTCATTCGACTTTTGGTTCTTTGACTTTTTGTTTTTGATTTTTTGTGCCGTAGCCAGGCATCCCCACCAGTAACTGTCAAATAACCCTTGGTCTGTTAGCATCCCACGCCCGATCGGGTCATCGATACGCTTCAGAGAGAGATAAAAGGGGAAAGCACCAGCAACAAGTTTCAAAGTCCGCCAGCTGATATTCGATTGGCGAGTAGGTGCATGCAAATAATGGAGTAAGAATGCCACTGATTTGCTTACCCCTAGCTCACGCAATATAACCTGCGCACCTCCCATGCTTGTTGTTCTCGATAATTAGGCTACAGAGCGCCGATTGGTGCTCTTTTATTCATATCTGAGTGACTTTAAGTGTTTTCAAGCTCGTCAGAAGCTAAAATTAACAAAAATAACCATTGATTCCACAAATCCATGTTCGCTTGCCTCTGGCTTATCAATCACGGCACGTCGATTGATATGCTTTGTCACAATCCAAACAAGCCAAGTCCATGCACGTGCCATCAACCAAATATAGACTATCTCGGACTTTCTCTAAGCGTGGATCACGACGTCCACAACCCACACTTGTGTTATTTGTCGGACTGGGAAAAAATCGACTATGTCTTGTCGAGTGGTGTACATTTTTGCAATCGTGGGATGGCGGGGTGGTTTTGGACCATGCCACCATTTCTCTCGAGCGTATCAACATTTCAATATCTGCTTGAAATGGAGGTGCTCGATCCTTCCAGCGTTTTGCTCTTAAAATAGGTCCTACTGACGACCGACCCCCTGCCGCGGCGTTGCTGGCTCCGCCCCTGACCGCGGTCAGCTGGCTGGCGGCACACGTGTCTTGGCCGCGGCTACCTGGCCGCCGGTTGCCCCCAGGTGCCGCCCGAGCTCTGAGAAGTTCACCGGCTCCGCCTGAGGCGAGCTCGGGTGCGGGGCTGGAGTGAGACGGTGATCGCCGGTCGGCTGGGGTTATAACTCCGTGTGACTCGGTCGGCTGGCGGTATAACTCCTTGTGACTCGGTCGGCTGGCGGTATAACTCCGTGTGACTCGTAAACTGACCAAGGAGGAGCGATCTCAGCCAGAGCGCAAGGCTGGTGAGAGCAGATCACGCCCCGTGGACAGCAGGACCAGACCGGAGGTCAAGCGCCGATCGGGGAGACCGGGCCGGACCGGAGGACCGAAGGACCGGACCGGAGCCGGGCCGGAGGACCATGATGCGTCAGCCACACGGCCCGCTCTCGGCCCACGCCGACCTGTCCGACTCTGAGGATTCGCTGTCGCTGTCGCGCCGCAACGATGAGGCTGCCACCTCGTCCGACGAGGACAACACAGCGTCCGATGAGGACGTCACGGCGTCCGATGAGGACGCCTCGTCCTCGGAGGGCTCGTACGCCTCGGCGGAGCGCTCGACGTCCGCCCACGAGGAGGTGCAAGAGCCAGAGATCGTCAAGGAGGTGCACACGTACCCGATCGTCTCGCAGCGGCACACCTGGTGCGCTGAGGAGGAGCATCTGCACTACCAGTCTTCCTACCAGCACCAGATCGTCCACGGCTTCAACGTCACGTTCCGGCGGCACTATGAGTCCTTTGGACGCCGGCGTGGTCGAAACTTCGGTACCCTTGAGGTGAGTCTGGCGGAGATTTTATTGTCACGGTTATAAATATGTGCGAACGCGCCTCGTGTCAGATACCAAACGACAAGTCGCGCGTGCCTATCGTTACGCAATTCAGTTCACCGCCGCGACACTGCTTAGGATTCGGAGCACGTGACGCAGCGCAATGCGGCGGTCGTGCGCTGGGGTCGGAGCGGCGGCGGGTTGTGGCGCGGAACGCGACGCAGCTGAGTGTTCGCGACGTCGGCACGTGGCACGTGACGCCGGTCGGAATGCACCTCTGCGTCTCGGCCGGCCGCGCAGCGCGCCGGCTGAGCGCGTCCGGTTTCAGACAGCAGCCGACTAGAGACACACTGTCCCGGGCGTCCCAAACACGTCCACCCACGCACCCCCGAACGCCCGAAGCGCCACTCGGGCGCGCGGCTTCGGGGGCCCCGCGCGGGCGGCCTACCAGCCGGGGCTGCTCTTCCTCCACGTACACAGCACGTGCGAGTTGTCGGCGTACTCCTTGGGCAGCGGGAAGTCGGCCTCCTGCGCGGCCATGTAGGCGGCGCCGAGTGCTAGCGATCCGGTCAGCTGCAGCAGGGTGAAGGCGGGCAGGTGCGCCGCCACCTGCTGCACGAACCCGACCTGCATCAGGTCCCAGGAGCGGAACACGGCGCCCACCGCCACGATGCTGAGGCCGCCGGGCGCGCGCAGCAGCTCCTCCGAAACGTTGGGCAGCAGCGCCACGACGAAGCGGCCCAGCCAGCGGCCGGCCTCGACGAACAGCTCGCGGCAGAACGCGTCGCCCTCGTGCGCGGCGCCGGGCCAGGTGCTGGCACAGCCCGGCGAATTTGGGCTTGCTGAAGCTGGTGTAGGCGTGCTCCAGCATGCCGAAGCGGTCGGTGATGTTGAAGTACTGCTTGATGCAGCGGCGCGCGACGACGGTGCTATGCGGCGGCGTGCGCAGGTTGTCGTCCTCGTCGAACACCCACTTGACGGCGCGGCAGGCGATCCACCAGGCGCTGGCCTCGTCGCCGAGCATGTAGGACCAGCCGCCGCAGCGGTGCACGCCGCCGTCAGGGTTCAGCAGCAGGCTGTTGGAGCCGGTGCCCGAGATGAGGCAGATGCCGCCGCGCGCGAAGGCGGTGACCACGGCGCCGACGGAGTCGCTGCACACCACGCATCGCTCGGCCAGGCCCGGGTGCCGCGCCAGCAGCTGGTCGCGCAGCTGGTTGTTCGTCTCCTCCACCTCACAGCCGCTGGAGCTGATGCCGAGCGCGCGCAGCCGCGTGTCGGCCGGCAGGCCGGCGGCGGCCAGCGCCTCGCGCACCAGCCGCGCGAACCGCTCGATCGTGGCATCCATGCCCTCGAGGTAGAGGTTGGTGCCGGGCCCGCTGCTGCTCGCCAGCACGCGCCCGTCACCGTCGAGCACCTTGGCCACCGAGTGGCCGCCGCCGCCCTCGATGCCGCCGAAGTACACGGCTGCCATGGCGAGCCGCCGGGTCCGCGCGCGCCGCACGTGCTCCCGCCCCTCGAACCGGCGTGCGAGTGACGAGCTGACGCGCGCCGCCGCCGCTCGGCCGCGGCGGCGCGCCGTTCCACTTTCCCGCCGGCCTATCACGACGCCTGATCGCAGCGGCGCGCCGGGCGCGGTTTTGTGACGCTAACCCCGGCAGCCATTGTGAGGGGGGGGGGGGGGGACGGGAACGGGAACGCACGAGGGGAGGTGGGTCGATAGTAAACGGGTCACCATCGGGAAAAAACAGCGCCCCCCCCCCCCCTCTCTGCAAACTCTTACACCCTGTACAGAATGCCGCGAGCTCCAGCCATCGCTAGCGTTAGAAGCCGACAATTATTTTTAATACTGACGAGCTGCGCTGCTCTATGACCAGTTGCGCTAGCTCAGTTAGCCTCCGCTATGCCGCCTCACCAGTCAGACCGGTTCATTTGCATGGAGGCGAGGCCGGTCGAGGTGCTGGTGCCTCGAATCCAGCCTACCCAGCCGGCACTCAGAAGGCTGAGTACCGGTCCGGTCGAGATGCTGGTGCCTCGAACCCAGCCTGCCCTGCCGGCGCGCCGAAAAGACACCTAGTTCTATGTCCGGTTCTTGCACTCTTCAATAGCTCCAAATATGCGTGTTTTAGCTCAACACGCTCGATCGTCCCCAACTTCGATTCACGTTCACTGCGAAGTGATCTAGGTGTCATAGCTCTCCTGCTCAGACACAAGTCCCAATGACACTTTGCTGATCGTAGGCCAGATGCCAGACATCCATCATTTTAAGCCATCGTTCCAGTCCCCTTTAATAACACGCTAGCAATCGTGCTCGGCCTCCTCGCGCCGGCGCGGTGGCGGTATCGGGCATCCTGGCACTAGGGACTCGCTCCCGGCGGTCTGCTGCTCCGGGGTTCGCAATATTCAAACCTCAGACGTTTCAGGCCTTGGCGCCCGATGGTACTTTTGTCGTTTTTTCATGATGTTAGTGAGGCCGATAAGGCCTAGGTTTTGGTTTTGTGGCAATTTTGTATAGCTGTTGTGATATCCGATAAAAAGGGTAAAGTGGGCAAATAGCTATGACAGGTGTTGCTATGACAGGTGTTGTAATGGTGTTGTAATGGACAGGTGTTGCTATGACAGGTGTTGTAATAGCTATGACAGGTGTTGCAACGGCCGCTTCGACTCCCTTTCAGACCTACAGGTTTTTATGATCCTCCTTTGACAGATGCCTGCTCCAACACTTTTTCATCACCGACGTTTCTGGACATCTTCCACTTATTGCTGCATGACAAAACACATTATTGCACTGCAAAAATGAGCCAACACCGGCAGCGCCGCGCGTCCGTTTGCCAGAGCTGGTCCTGCGTCGTCGGCCCGGCCAGCTGCGTCGGGCCTGGGCGGCGGCGGCTCGGTTCGCGGAATGTTTTAAGCCCGTGGCTCAAGCCGCTGCATTCTGCGGCCGAGTCGTCGCAAAGCCGCCATGCGCCCGTCAGGCGATAAACACGAGCCACCCCTGACGGCCGCTCTCTGATGTAGCAGCCTCTGAACGAGGGCGGCCGAATGTCGGCGTCGTTTGGCTGCGTCTCTCTGCGCCGCTCGGCAGCTGACGGCGCGGCGTCGCCGCCTCCCTGCGCGTGCTGGCCTCGATGGTCTCCCTGCAGACGGGATCAGTGTTTATGGTGACCTACTTTGCGTGATCTCACTACGGTTGAGAGCGGCCTGTGACCCGTACCAGACGATCGGTTTTGGCGGGTCGTGCTGGTAGTGGAACTTTGCACAGCGCGAATTTGATACAGAAAATGCCCAGTGGTGTCAACCAAGTCCAAGCCTGCTCAATATGACACCGCAAGGTCGTAATTGTTATTTCATTGTCACGGTCCATGTTTTATATACAGTTTAAGCAACAGCTCCTTATGACAACGAGCCCGGTTATGAACTTAATGTTATGAACCCGGTATATTTGTGCGGCAGAACAGTCGCAACTGTGTATCACTAGTGACTCCAACCGCAAATGGTTTCACCAACCACACTGACCAACCACGCTGTGCATTACAGCCCGCGTTAGTCGTTTGCTGGCAAAAAGGTGGGTGACTTTTTCGTCCCAGCTGATGACTGCGAATGAAGATGATAACGACGATGACACGATGGCATGGACTTTTTACCAGGGCTTTTAAGTCACACCAGGGTCAGGTCTTCTGACTGGACACAGCTGGAGGCTGTGTGACCTGGTGACCCGATGACCTTACGATGACCCGATCTGACCTAGTGACCGGATACTGAACACTATTTCGCATTTCCAGCCGCAGTTCAGACACCTGCGCCAGGGTCACGACAAGCATGAGTCTTGTGCAAGTTGTCCTATGTACAAGGTATCACCAACTACGGGTCTTCCAAATTCACAACTTTTCCCATTTTCAGGTCGATTTTGTTGTTGGTTTTTTGCTTAAGCTTCCGATCTGCATAGCACGAGGGAAATATTAAGCACCCGTTGTTAATCTAGATCCGGGATCCGGCAGTGTGTATCATGAACCGGATTGAAGGCACCGCGGGGAGATATTAATTAGCCAACGATGAAATCCGGTCGGACACCAGGAATAAGAATACGATCACGTCTATCCAAATCATCACTTTGTTGTCGCATCATAGCGCTAGTGAGAATGCCGTGTAACAGCTAAAAGATGTGTCCGACGCTCCCCACCGCGATCCCCACCGCGTCACACATCTCGGATCCATGATACCGGACACCGGACACGGCTTCTAAGCCCGTGTCCGTGAAACCGGACACCTGACACCGCCCAGAAGTCAGCGCTCTCCGCCGGGGGAGGGCGAGGGAGGGGTCCCGCCCGGTGTCTCCGTGGTGACAGCGGGGCACGTCCAGCGGCGTCAGCGTCGGTCTCGGAGGGTCACCGGAGCGGCCACACACGAGTACGCGGGCGAATGGGCGGCCGGCCATCAGAACCGGGCCACAGAGCTCCCAGGGACGGGCCGACCGGCACGCTCGGGCGAGCTCATTCAGACAGCGCCGGCGCGGCTCCAGAAGGTCCTGCATTCCGGGAACGCGGTCTCTCCGGCGGCTCGAGCGCGGGTCCGAATCGCGGCAGGTCGGGGCAGGCCCGATTACCTGAGCACAAAGCCGCTCGACCTTCCGCGGCGCTACCGGCGCCGGACGGCAAGCTGGCACTGTTCCCAGCGAGGGGGAGGTGACCGCTGCAGGGCGGGCGGGGTGGGGAGGGGTAGGGGGCAGGAAGTAGAAGCATCCTGCCGCCTGCAGTCGGGCCGTGCAGCTCGAGCGCCGGGTCTCCCGGGCCAGAGGAGCTCTGCGCAGGGAAGCCCGCTGGGACGGCAGAGGCGGGACGGAGGCGGCGACGGCAGCATGCCGCGACCTTCACCGGGTGTGGCATCGATCGCACCCTCCTTCTCTCTCTCTCGCTCTCGCTCTGCTCTGCTCTGCGACCCACGTCCGGCTCGAGCCCGGGCCCTGGCGCAGGTGGGAGGGACCCTCTTGACCGACGGGTTCTGACTCAAGTACGACGTTGGACTGCGGCAGTAACGTCACACATAGGACACAAGTTCTGTCGACATGGGGATGCTTTCTGACTCAGGTATGACGTCCTCCGGGGTAGTGACGTCACATTGCGGCAGTCAGAGACGTCATTGCAGAACCAGTCCTGCAAGGCGGCCTTCGCCGCCGCCGGCATCGTTTCAAGCACACGTGCCCCCGTTGTCAGCCCTGTTTGGGCCAGACGGCACATTGAGCCGCGCGCCGGCCCAAACAAGCACGCCCGCCGTGCTGCTGCCACCTGTGGAGTGCCGCGCGCCGAACGGTCCTGGACGCGTCGCCACCGGCGCACGCAGAACGGTCCTGCGTCGCCGCCGTTCAGCAGAGTGATCCGGCCCACCACCGTCGCGCGCGCCGCGCTACTTTTAGTGCTGGGCAACCGAGCGGCGTGGGCAGTGGCGAAGCGGCGGCGCTAGAAAGTGAGCGTGAACTACGCATCGGCCGGCAGGTCGGCACGCGGGCGGCCGGCGGACGGGGGTTCGGGGCCGTGTGACCTCCGGGAGGTTCCAGTGACGCGCGGCCGGCGGCCGGCCTGCCGAGCGCCCCCTGTCGTCAGCCAGTTCGGCGCCGCGAGCACCCGACAGCACACGCGGAGACCGACGCACGGCGACCATGCCGAAGAAGCGCTACAACCCGTACGCGGTGGCGTCGACGGAGACGCAGCTGGAGCGGCTGGTGGACGACGAGGCGCCGCATGACGCCGCCACCGCCAACCCGTACCTGGTGACGGGCCACGCGCTCTACAGCCTCGGGCAGACGTACGACCCGTACCGCGTCAAGCCGCTGAAGCCGTTCGACATCGAGGAGGCGAGCGAGAGCACCGCCCAGGAGGAGGTATGCTCCTGCCGCTGGATCGACCGCGGCGACATCGTCGACGAGGCCGACTATCTGTACCAGCTGGGCAAGCAAGACGTCCGTCCAGTAAGTCCACCGGCGGGGGGAGGGGCTGTGGCGAACATGGCCGGCTGCCATCGTCGCCGGGGGTGGTGGCGCACGGCGCGTCGGCCGGGGGCGGCGCTGAGCGCCACGTGCAGAAGCGTGCACAGCAGGGGCACACGCCAGGGGCCTCTGGTGTGTGGTTCGATGGTGGTTGAATGTCACAGTTGCGTGGCGAGGCGACGCTGCTGTCGGCCAAAACGGGTTGCGGCTATGTTATCTGTAATATTTTAATATTTTACGATTGCGTAGTGCTTTCACTCGGAAGTGGCAACATTGTTAACCAGGAGTCCTGTCATTATAAACAGCTTATATAGTGAAAGCTATGCCTGGGTCGTGGTGGCGTAATGGGGCATGGCCTGGAACAGAATTGAACAGCACAGTTTCTTTCGTCCTCGATATGGTACCGGCTCCTCACTGGTCCGGGTATGAGCCCACCGTAACGCAATGGCGGTTGATGTCCCGAAAAGGTCTTACTTTATGAGTCACTTATCAGCTCGTGCGTCCGACGGGGGGTCTGTTCTGCTTCCTTTGACCTCCATGATCAAGCAGGAGCAGGTGTTCTCCAGGAAAACACACGCTTTCAGCGTCAGCCTATACTCACCTCTTCCGACTCGTCGGAATCAGCGTGAGGCACATTGGCCAAGAGCCAGACCGCAACAACGGCAGAACCTCTCCCCACTCCGAGGAGCCCCTTTCGCTGCTCTGGACCCGCTGCTCCCTCCTCTGGTGGGACAAGGCGCCGACCTTGACCCCTGGCGGGACTAGGGCACCGAGTCGCGCGTGCCGGGCGTGGGGAAAACTCGCCCTTGGCCCCGTCCAGACCCGGCACTCCCGCCGGGCCCGGTTCAGATGGCGGCTGCCCCCGCTGCGATGCAAGCCGGCGCCGGTGCCGCTACTAAATCTGGCACTGACTCACTCAGGCTGGTGCGGCGCGGTCCGGCTCGGTGGACGGCTCGGCGCGGCGCGTGGGCCTCCGCGGACCGCTCGGTACGCGCCGGGGACGCGACCGCAGTTTTGTGCTGAGCTATGACTCAGAGACCAGCAGGCGCTGCGGCGTCTGGCGACCTTCCCGCGGCCCAGCGCCGTGTCAGCCGGAGTACGCTGGAGACGCAGTCGTGGTCTACGGCGGCGCCGGCTCCGGGCAACACGCGCGTGCAGGACGGGCTAGAATGCAAGCCGCTGCTCAGTCGCGGCTGGAGGTCACGTCAAGGTCATATTATTATTAGAATGATTGTAAAACTCCCGATTGCTGCTTCGAGGCCGGGTTGGACGACAAACGTCTGAAACGAGGTTGCTAGCGGATAGTTAAGTCCACCTTTGGCGCTTTTTATCATTCATTTCTGGTAAGGGTACTGTGCCAGCGGAACTGTTGCCATCGTTCTTATTGGACAACCTTGCATTCAGAAAATCGGCCGATTCATCACAGTTTACTACTCAGTGTGTTTTAAATAAGGTCGCCTCCAAACGAATAAGGTTGAATAAGGTTGAATAAGGTTGCGCTAATCCAAACTACGCCGTGTCCGGAGCCGTCCGGACGCGAACACGAGCCAGAGCGGGCGGCCGCGCCGGAGAAAGCGTGGAGACCGGGGGCCGCGAGAAATCTGGCCGAAGTGGCTCGCGGTGAAAAGGGCCGTCTAGCTCGATCGCCCGCGAGAACCGGTTGTGGCGACCCATCGCGTCGAATCGGGGCGGTCCCGTCGTACGGAGAGGGGAGGGATACCGGGGAGGGGAGGGCGAGGGCCAGGGTTATGTGTCGTGGGCGTCGCCTCTGCCGGACCTTGCCTCCAGCGGCGCCTCGCGAGCGGCCGGCGTTTACTTGACGGACAAACACGGCGTGGGGCGGAGCGGCGCTGCCTCCATTTTAGGGTATACCGGTCTCTGACTAGACCGGCCGCGGGCCGCCACTGCGCTGTCAGATGATAGGAAGTGTGAGCACGGCCGGACCGGATGCAGGGACAGAGTACGGCTGTACGCTCGGAATAACGTGCCAGCTGTAGCGCCAATGGAGGGGGGGGGGGGGGGGGGCACGGGGTGTTGTGGGAGTGGACTGGCTCGTCGTTTCGGGTCGACAGCTTATTCCCGCTCTGCAGTGATCTCTAGTGATAAGGCACCGAGAACGACGTTGTGATTTTCGCTGAAGTGCTCCGATGCTGCGGTGCGTCACTTTACGTACTTTGAAGAATGATCCGAACCGACAACTCGAGGGGCTCAAACGACGCGTTAGCAACTCGCCAATAACCCAAAGCTTCAGAACGTCCACCATCATCAGGTCCGATGGGTGCTGGTAACGCTGGGCGTGCCAGAGAATGCAGCGGTATGTCGGCGCTGAATCATTGGAAGAGCACTGTCAAAACACTTACCACTCCGCCCTGACGCGCTGTGAGGGCTATCCAGCTCTATCCACCGACTGCGCCCGTCGAGTTATTCCCTGCGTTTACAAACGACGCTCATGGGCGCTTGTTATGCTGCCACAAGCTGTTGTGGTTGGCCCGATCGGTCTGAGGCGTGACGGTAGGACCAAAGCATCTGCACAGCATGGTCGTAGAGGCAAGTTATAAGCTGTGGACACGCTCCCGCGCGCACACAGACGAAGGTTGTATGCCTGTGTGGACAAGCTGCGCTACATGTGCACTGGAACGTATCGGAGATGTGCCTACTGCCACCGTCTCGTGGGACATTGGCCGCTGGAATGTTCCTGAGATGTGCCTACTGCTACCGTCTCGTGGGACATTGGCCGCTGGAATGTTCCTGAGATGTGCCTACTGCCACCGTCTCGTGGGACATTGGCCGCTGGAATGTTCCTGAGATGTGCCTACTGCCACCGTCTCGTGGGACATGGGCCGCTGGAATGTTCCTGAGATGTGCCTACTGCCACCGTCTCGTGGGACATTGGCCGCTGGAATGTTCCTGAGATGTGCCTACTGCCACCGTCTCGTGGGACATGGGCCGCTGGAATGTTCCTGAGATGTGCCTACTGCCACCATCTCGTGGGACATTGGCCGCTGGAATATTCCTGAGATGTGCCTACTGCTGCCGTCTCGTGAGACGTTGGCCGCTGGAATATTCCCGAGATGTGCCTACTGCTGCTGCCTCTTGGTGGCGTGGGATACTGGAACGTTTCTGAGGTGTGCCCATAGTTGTTATCTCTCGGGACGCAGACACCGTCGATGCAGGACAGTGCTGCGAAGACGTGGTGCTCGGTGTCCCGTGAAAGTCGGCCGTACGACGAGACATTCAGTTCATGTTCCAAAGCACCAATTTCAATGAAATTCTCCCCACGTTACATTATTTTCTCCCCTTTCCCTTTTGACTAAGTTTTCTCCCTAGCGTGTGTTGGCCTTTCGCGAACCTCACATGCGTATGTCCAGTCATTACACTGGCAGACTTCGAAAAATATGCAACACGACGCTGGTCAGGTGGTTCCTATGATCACCGCCTATACATGCCATGCCAGCGCAGTGGTCCTATGGACACAGAGATTGAAATATCCGGATGATCCGTGACGTGCCGGCAAACATCGCCATGGATATCTGCCAGGGGTATCGGAGCTTGATGCTGCGGTCCGGCTATCTGCCCTGCCATATTGAACACTCCATGCTGCAACCTTTGTTTGGAGTGGCGCTGTGCTGACAGCAAACCAGTTTGCGAAGTGGAAAATAGGGCAAACAGCCTGTATCGGAAAGGATAAACGCTATCCTAGTGTGTTTGTCTTCCAACGTACCCGCTATTTTGGAAAGCTTCACCTGTCCGCACGTCGGACGAGGATGTTTGGATTCATGAACACTCACCATGATCAGACAGCAGCGGTGTTGACGAACTGGAAACGTAATATTAACCAATACGAGTAAAATCTCACGATGAATTGGGTTATAAAACGTACAAAAGATATAAATTTTGCTTCGCTTATATATATATATATATATATATGTATATACATATATATATATATATATATATATATATATATATATATATATATATATATGAATATATCCATACATGCATGCACTGAAACTTTCAGGAAGACAGAAAACTTATGCTGATTTTATACGCGTACGACAGGGTCTGACACACGAGCACGTGACTTTCGCTTTTTTCGATAGAAAGCACCTTGGAGTTTTAGCAATTGCGCCCCGTGATGTGCCCATGTCCGCTCATATGTACTTGGCATCATGGTGGTGCTCAGCACGGAGCCAAAGGCAGACGTTATCCATTGGCCTTGGCCGACGAGATCCCTTGCTGTAACGCAAAGGCAAATCAGAGTTCACTTCAAAACCGGCCACGACCCTTGTGGAGAAGCAATGGTGCTTCGGCATGTGAAGCTTGTGAGAGACAGAGACGGGTCTGTTTTTGGCCTAAAGAAAGGAAGAAACTGGATGATAAAGTACAAAAGAACAGCAGAGACCATCACAAAGTCAAGTGTGTCATCGCTGGGATGTACCAAAATCCATCCGAAAGATGTTGCTGGGTGTCGCCACCGATCACACAACGGTACGGAATCTTCTGGTTCTCTTCTCTCCACCCTATACCATAGAAGCATATGCAATAACACACAACCCACCCGGAGAGCCATAGATATCTGTCATGCTATCACAATTACCATTGGGTATGACGAAGTGATCTGCATATGCTGCTTTGGATGCTTTTAAAATATGTATAATGACTCAGAAACATGCATGACTGACATGACTCAAAGGCTCTCAAACATCGAATGTGTGTACCAATTCTCAAATCTGGCGCGAAAATAGCTCTGTCAAGTTTTATGCTCGGAAGTAAAACCTGGAGTATCAAATGCGATGACATGCTCTCGTATGGGGGATAGATCTGGTTTAGCAGAAAGTTTCCCCGAAGCGGGAAAATATCCTGCTAACCGGGAATTATTTGCTCTGAAATATATAATATATTTAAGATAACTTCATTTGGTGTTTTATGCATTCGGGTATATGCATGCGCACAATTGCACATACAAACAGAGCATACAA